GTACTATAGTTTCACAGTATTTATTGTACTATAGTTTCACAGTATTTATTGTACTATAGTTTCACAGTATTTATTGTACTATAGTATCACAGTATTTATTGTAGTTTAGTATCACAGTATTTATTGTAGTTTAGTATCACAGTATTTATTGTAGTTTAGTATCACAGTATTTATTGTACTATAGTATCACAGTATTTATTGTACTATAGTATCACAGTATTTATTGTACTATAGTATCACAGTATTTATTGTACTATAGTATCACAGTTTTTACTGTACTATAGTAGTATTTGTTGCTGTATCTCGTGAACAGTTATAAATATTTGAGTTCTTTCAGAGAAAAGAAACAGTTTGTTCGTCCAGCAGGGGGCAGCAGACAAACATCTGAAACACAATGCATCATGGGAAACTAAACTGAACCAAGTGTTCCCGATGATCAGAACCAGGGTGGTGTCTTCAGACCCAGTTCTGGTTGTGGTTCTGGTCTGGGAGCTGGACTCACTGTGAAGTAGAAGGGGTGTGCATGTTGGCCGAGCTTCTTCAGCAGCCTCTCCTGCAGACGACTGTTGGGCTTCTTCTCCTCTGGAACCGGAGGGAAGGCCTGAGAGAGAAACCGGGTCAGAACCTCACCGTTAACGAGTCCAAGTGTCGAAATWAAATAAAATAAAAATGTCCTCCTGCAGCTGCTTCAGGTCCAGTGGACCGGATCAGACCAGGAGGTTCTGCTCAGGCCTCACCTGGAAGGTGGAGATGTAGAGATCCTTCCTGAAGGACAGACCCAGGACATCCAGGTCCTCCCGGCCGTACCTGAACGCACAGGTGAGCGTGACGAAGACTGCAGACAGGAATCAGACCAAAGCTCAGTTCTCTGAGTTTAAAAAGATTTACATTAAACCCACCATGTTCCCCCTGGTTCTGCTCACCTTTCCGGTCCTTCAGGTACTCCGGGTCGACGAGGATSACTCCATCTGTGGAGACGAAGGTCRGAGTTCACAGCCGAGTCCAACTCATGTCAAACATGAAGCCTGGACCCTGTCAGAAACTCACCTACTGGGTCCACGTGGTCCAGGTGGTCCACAAAGTCCCTCTTTCCCAGATAAACAGTCAGCTGAGACAGAAACACATGAATCAACATCACGTGATGAAGGTCAGGTTTGAACAAAAACTTCTCCTTCAGCTGAATATCTGCAGTTTGTTCACATGACCACAGGGTGGCGCTGTGGAGCAGAGACATTTAACCACAGGTGCTTACCTTACAGTTGGGGCTGGACTTCTTGAAAACTCTGAGGAGGAGGAGGAGGAGGAGGAGGAGGAGGAGCAGGAGGAGGAGGAGGAGCAGAAACAGTCACATCAGTTCAGCAGGTTTAAATCAGACTCAGCAAAGAGAAAACCTTCAGAGGAAATCTTAACAGGAAGTGTCTCAGCTTCCTGCTGGCCTGAAACCAAGCCTGGTGTCAATGACCTTCACTTATTATGGGATGGAACTGGAGGGAAACATCATGAAACCAGTCTGAAGCTCAGAACCAGTTCATCTGTAAGTGTGGAGCAGCTGCACTGAAACTGACAAAACTAAAAACCTCATCAGCTCTGACTGGTTTTTACAGCTGGTTTTCATTTTAACATTCAGTTATTTATGATTTTATTAAGAATTCAGCTTCATCATCATCATCATCATCATCATTATTATTATTATTATCATCATCATCATTATTATTAAAAACATCTGACTTATTTGTTAGAACCTAAGATGAAGTTTGCTGAAGGTCCAGAACAAGTCAGACATTTTAAATTACTGCATCTGACAGGACTACATTTATTAAAGTCTGGACCTCAGTCCCACTGATGGACCTGAGCAGAACCAGAACCTGTGTGGACCACGACCGCTGGAGGAGGGACCTTCACTTCTCTTCATTAGAGCTCACAACAGGAAGTGGTCAGAGAGGAAACAGGAAGTTCACCACAAACCACTCAGAACAGGTCTGTTCAGAAGCAGAACCAACCAGAACCAGGACCGGCTGCTCAGACTGAAGTCCTTCAGGTTCTCTGGACCTGGACAGTCTGCCGGTCCTCAGCAGAACCCAGCTTTAAAACAAGACGTCTGAAGAAACCTTCCAACCCAGACTGAGGGCACTCACAGGCTCTTATTTTGACAGTCAGCAGGTGCTTCCTGTTCCGAGGATTTAAACKTCTCAGTTCATCAGAACTGAACCAGAACCAAACAGAACCGGGTCAGTTTGTGGCAGCTGAAACTCTCAGGTTATTCATTAATCTGATCGTTGCTCAACCTCCTCCGACGACCCGTAAAACAGCTGATTAGTAATATTTAAACACACACACACACACACACACACACACACACACACAGTTCTGGACCGGGTCAGACATGGTTTGATCCACGTCAGCAGCATCAGCTCAAAGAAATTATTCTGGATGTAACATGTCTGTAGGCCCTCAGAACTGTTATTATTATTATTATTATTATTATTATTATTAGCCCCTCCTACTCTATCACTGGTGCTAGCCTCTAACTTTACACTGAACTGGAGGCTTTCCTCCAGCTGCAGTCATTTAAATAAATGAGAAACAATAAATAAATAAAGTGCCTGTAATAATAAGTCTGTTAGCATGTTTTTATTAAAACAAAGCGGGACGTTTTAAAGCTCCTGAGCCTAATCTCCTGTCTTTTATTCCTGTCATGATGTAAACAAAATGTTTCAGCTTGAAGAAGATAGTTTGATGTTCAGTTTACTCAGAACTGAGACACTTAAATTTAATTATTTATAGTTTTACCAGCATGAAGCTAACCATAAGCTAAGTTTTTCTATAAAACTGAGACGTAGCTGCTAACAATAAAAAGTAAAAACTGACTGGTTTTATTGTTATAAGTTGTTATAACTCACTTTGCATGCAGGAAATATGAAGCTGGGGGCGGAGCTTCATACGTGTTTAAAGTCAGAGGATGAACCTGATTCAGGTCGTCTGAGTCACAGAAACCTCTTTAGTTTCCTGTCAAATCATTTATTTAATAACAGTTTATAGTGTTTATTTTTGTAACTGTTTTCTCGTGCAGTGGGCGGGGCTATGCAGTGGGCGGGGCTATGAAACAGCAGCTGATGCTGGTCCAGACTGTGAGGACCCACAGAGGTGAGACTGCAGACCACCTGTGAGTGACAGCTGTCACCAACACTGCTGCAGAGCAACACCTTCACACACAGAACCACACACTACTGCTGGCTGCTGCCGCTGCCTGTCAGATCAACGACACGTCGCTGCTCAGAGGAACCAGCCGGCGGCCATGTTTGTACTTCCTCTCCTCGCGCCGTTTCCTAACAGGAAGTGGCCACAGGAAGTGGGGGCGGGGCTGGACCGTTTACAGAAGTTCATCCAGCCGCTGATCACAGAGGTGTCAGATTTCACCATGTGAGGTGAAGAAAACGAGAGAGAGAGAGAGAGAGAGAGAGAGAGAGAGAGAGAGAGAGAGAGAGAGAGAGAGAGA